AATTCTATGTCTGTCAGGGTTCTGGGAATGATTTGAAAACCTTGTTCTAGGTGACTACTACTGTAGCTTGGCTAAAAATCTGGGACAAATTGATCAATTAGAAAAAATTCTACATAATGTTTTGTGAAGACTGGACCTGGAATGTAATTTCTCACATACAATAAATAAATCTTTAAAATATTGAAAGTAATATCAATAAAAAACATTGCAATTTCTATAAAAACCTTAGGACACTGCTAGAGAGTCTTTATCTGCTGTTATACATTGAAAAAAAAACATCGGAGTTGCCTTCTGGTGTGAAAAAATGAGCACTGACAAGAAACTGATAAGAAACTGATTGATTACCCCTTCTGAGTCATGATTGACAGCTAGAAAGCAAGTGGCATGGAGCCTGAGGCTTCTAGCGGAAGTCTAACGACCTAAGGCCTCTGAATGGCTGAAAATACAATGAATGACAGCGTTTTTTTTACCAATCAGTTCGCCTTTTCTGGCTGTCCTGCTTCAAACATTTACTACAAAGTCAATAACGTTCAGTAACCTCCAGGTCTTAAGGTATTGTAAGTTAGTCTAGGCTTCTGTGGATATATATCGTGCTTTAGAATAAGGTAAAAACATGGGATATATATATATTTTCTGGCTTATTGATTACCTTATCGATGCATATTAGAAGTTTGGAAGTGCATCATCAGATAAAAAGTTACTTTGTGATTGATTGTCTTGGTTTTTAAAAAAAAACACGTTTTTTTAAAGCTCCGGTTGTCCGTTTTCGATTGATAACATGGTTTTGTGGTTTTGTTGGTAAAAAAACGATTAAAAATTATGCAGGAATCAAAGGTAGATATTGATTTACACTGTGGACGCTTACGACCACACCAAGGATAGCACACATATGATTATATTAACGTTTTTTATATTGGTTCAAAAAACAGTTCTGTGAACCCTAGTAGAACCCTTTTCGATTGATAAAAGGTTTTCTGTAAAGGTTTTGTGGTTTTGGTGATGTAAAACGATGAAGTGAGACGGGACTTTTGAAGCAAGTCAGAACGTGGCGGTTCCGTCCATGTCCAGCATTA